ATCAAATACTTCATTCTCTAAATCTCCTTCAATACAATCTCTTACAATTACTAATATAATCGTTCGTAATCCTTTTTCTTTCATTTTTGGTTGTATTCTATATCTTATTGATTCCGTTATTCTATCCATTATGTCTCTACATCTTCCTTTATGTATTGTATCTTCTCTTTCTGAATTATTCATACTTAACAAATCCAATACTCCTTTAATTGTTACATCGTTATATATTATTATTGTATCTTCGAACTTAAATAATGCATCCCAAAATTTCTTGAATACCATTGGTTCATTTCCCATCGGATGACATAATTCACAATTTAAACATTCATCTAATTCTCCTGTTCTCAATTCATGTTCCTCTTTATGTGCTCTATATTCACTTTCCCATTGATGGTACCATTCCATCGTATACTTCAATTAAATTATTAAAAATATTCATCCAGAATTCAAATTGGAATTTCGCTTTCTTATATATCATTTTTATCGCTTCTATTCTGATCTTCTAACCATTCTTTACTATATCATCCTTTCCTATTATCTATATTGAATGTATAATCTTTCTTTCATTAAGAATATTCATTTAACAACTTATTCTTCTAAATCTTTTACTTATTCATAATATTCTTATGTTGATCTTCCAATCTTTAAATCCCCTTTTTGATTTTCACAAGTTTCTTCCGCTATTCTTATTTTTCATAATTTCATGTATATATTTTACTGCGCCATTAATTCAAAAATTATTCTAAGTCCACAATCTCCTCAGACTGCAGAGGTTTTTACTGCGCATTCTAAAAAAATTTCAAAAATTTTCTAAGTTTTTACTGCGCCTCAAAATTTTCTTTTATCATCGAAATTTATAATTTTCGCATTTCACGAACTTCAAAATTCCCATAACTTCTAAAGTTCGTGAATTTTTAGTTCTTTTTCATTATATATGTAATCTTTACATCCATATATTTAATATTACGCAAAATATCTTCTCTGTTTAATCTTGTACTAATTCTTATTATAACCATTATGTCGACACACAACATATTATACTTTATGCGACACACGCATTTACACTTATGCGACACACGCATTTACACTTATGCGACACACGCATTTATACTTATTTAACGGTGTTTCTTCTTATTTATTATCTTTTACAATTTAATAACCTATACTCGGCTTGCCTTTACCTTCACAATGAAGTATAGTAGTTTCGAGGTTTGCTATTCACATTTTATCATTTGACCAGCAAATATTCCTAAATTTCGCATTATTCCATAATATTCATCTTCTTTTTGTGAGTTCAGTTGCACATTTTCCTAAATGCTTTCAGTTTTATCTGAAGTAGTTATACTCACGAATGTTTCTCTTTTTGCCTTGTGAATTCAATTACGCATTTTCAAAATGCTTTCAGTAGGGAGATGTTCCACTCACGTCTGAGTCCAATTATTTCAATTCCCATCTGAAGAAGTTATATTCACAGCCGGTGTTTTTGTAATAGGTTCTCACGTAACCCTTGTGTTTTAAATAGGTTCCCACGCAACCCTTGTGTTTTGGTAA